GACCACTAAAAGTCTAAAGAGAATCTGCCTGAAGAGAGCAACCGAGCGAACAAGAAGAATCTGGTATAAAATGAAAAATATTATTTTGCTGCTATAGCGCATCAATAAGGTCCCTTCAGAAACAAAATACAATATTTAAATAGCCGTTTCGCAAGCTGAAGAATTATTAATGGAACTTTGGTGGGTAATTTCCATGCGGTGAAGAAGCTAAGAAGACAGTCGCGCATTCCATGGAACGCATTCCGCCCCTAAAAAGTTAGGAAGAAGAAGATGGAAAAAGAAAAAGAAACTAACGATTGAAGGTGATAAATCTTGTGAGTATATTGTCCTTTATCATATTTACCATTATACAGTGGTACACCGTCGAAAGGCTCATTTTTGAGAACCTAAAAAAGGAATATAGAAGAGAAATTACAAGAGAAAAGAGGAGAGTTGATGCTGGTCGACCGACCTCGACTCCTTCTCCTCCGCCGGTTTCCGCTTTCGAGGCTTCTGCAACGGACCATAGCTGCCCGACTTGATATTCCTCTACCGTCATAGGAAGAACAACCCGACTGAAAAAAAGTCATTTTCTTCAAAAAAAAACTTGTAGGAATGTACCTAATGGTGTTGAGTGATGTGCAAAACTCCGGCGTTAGGAGGAAATCGAACCCATATTTCACTCTTTCCGGGGGCCAGTACTAACCAGTTACTTAACCAATCGCACTACTAACGCATGTCTGTCAGCAACCAACCGTCAACGGGGTCTGGCGAGCAATATCGGCATTGACCCCAGTTATTCAGTTAAATCCTGTTGATCACATATATATATATATATATATATATATATATATACATCAATATCGGCCAGCGTAACTTCAATTGAGAGGCCAAACCGTTAACGGTTGGTTGCTAAACAGGTGCAAAGGGATCAGTTAGCAGGCGCCCCCGGAAAGGGTGAGACGTGACTTCGATTCCTGTCTGACGTCAACATTCTGCACATCACTCAACACTAATGTGAATAGTTGTAACATCATAAAAGATGAAGGATAAAGCTCTCGGCGGTGATCAATCTCTGAGGGACTTGCCATGCATTCGTATTCAATTTGCGACATCGTTTCAGATGATTGAGGGGCATATCTGGCCTTCAAAAGCGCATGTGGCGCGAGGTTAGAGGTGCTCTGCGTCGCAACCGAGCTCGATGGTTCAATCTCGCGCTCATGGCTCACTAACCATCCAATCCATCCCTCCGGGGTCGGTCAATTGGTACCAGACTTCTCAGACCTGTTTGGAAGGATAAGCAGCACTGACTCGGTACAGCAAGAGGCCACCGCGAGTCATTGTAAAGGCCAGATATGCATTCAATCACCTCAAACGAAACTCAAAAATTGAAGACGAATACATGGCGCATTTCTCAGGGATTAATCAACATCAAGAGTTTTATCCTTTATCCTTGTATCGGCTTTTACAAAGACTCGCGGTGGCCCTTCACTGTATCAAGTCAGCGCTGCTTATCCTCCAGACAAGTTTGCGACCAGTCCGGTACCAATTTGCCGATCCCAGAGGGATGGATGGTTTGGGAAGCCAAGAGCACGATATCGAACCTTCAACCTCGTGTGCGGGGCAGACCACCTCTAACCACTGCGCTACATGCGCTCCTGTAACATCATACCACCGCGAATAAGCAGTCAATCAAAAAAGTAGTTGTGAGAATGTTTTGATCTTGAAGTCCAAAGATACAGGAGGTTTCATAGGCCAAGAGGAAATTCTATACTCCTCCAGAATGTGGGACTTTTGTGATTTTGTCTCTGAATATACAAACGAAGAGGGGAAAAATGGAGAAAACTTACTACTCTTTAACAATCATGTCGACAAATAAAACGAGTAGATGAGGGAAAAGGTACGATCCAATGCAATCCGTCGGCGACGATCGATCCCTCTGCTGTATCCTCTGGACCCTGAAAAAAAGAAAAACAAGTGACCGACTGTCTGAGACTATAAAACAAAACGAGAACCGACACCGTTCGGAACAGAAGAAATACGTCGGGAATTGGCAGCAGAATCGCCTCAGGTAGATGATTAGCAAAGATTCGATGAAATTCAAAACGTAGAGTGGGACAGAGAGAGGAGAGAGAGAGAGGGAAGAAAAGAGAGAAATGAAGAGAGAGAGAGAGAGAGAGAGAGAGAGAGAGAGATACATAAAAGGGAAGGGGAAAGAGATTGATTTGTACATTGGAAACGAGAGGAATATGAAGTAAAAATGACTCACTCATACATCCAAAGAAAAGAGGAAAATGAATGGAGATAATGATTTACCCGTTGGAAACAGGGAGGAAAATAAAGAAGTGGCTTGTTGAGTTGAGAAAAAAAGTCAGAAAAATGAAAGAAAATCCAGTAAATCACAACTTTATGATCTACAACGAATTGATCGATAAGATCTTAAGAATCTTGAAGATGAAGACTTTCAGTAGTGATTTGATAAACTTGATATCAACGTTGTATTCGCGGCAAATTTTAAGAAACCACTAATGAAAGGAAACTATTTGTAAATTGGAATGAAGGGAAAATGAAGAGGGAGAAATGACTTATGGATTGAGAACGAGAAAAGATTGAATGGATGATTTCTCCGTAAGAATAAGGAAGAACAATGACAGAGGAAATAGGATGATTTTCCCACTGGAAACGAAAGGAAAATGAAAAACAAGTGGCTCGTTGAATGGGAAAACAACCATCGAATAATGAATATGAACGGGAATACTCAGGATTCTAGCCTTAATGATCTACGATCAGTCAATCAATCGGTGAGATCTCAGAAATCTCGACGATAACGGGCCTTTAATCTTGATAATTGATAAATTTCATGTCAACCGTGGTACTAGGTAGATCACAATGGAACTAATAGTGAAAGAAAACGATTTACACATTGAAGTGAGGATGAAAATGAAGAGAAAGAATGAACTATACGTCGAAAACGCGAAAAAGAATGAATGAAAAGATGACTTTCGCGTGAAAAATGAGGAGAAAATGGAGGAAAGAGAGGAAAGGATGATTTTTCTGTTGAAATTGGAGGAAAAAAAATGAAGGAAAACGATGATTTGTAGACTGAAAAGGAGAGGATTTGGAAGAGAAGAATGTCAGCGGATTAAAACGAGAGGGACTGAAGCAATGGCAGTGACTCAGAAAAAAATGAGAGGAAATGAAGAGAGAAAAAAATTATTGGGAGGAAATTGAAGAAAAAAAAAGAAAAGATTTCTATTCTGAAAACGAGTGGAAAATGAGAAGGTAGAAGATTGAATTGAGTCCCGACCAAACCTGTCAAAGGTTGGTGGCTGATAGCTAACATTGAGATGTTGAAGAATGAGTGGTCGGGCAAATGCGCCTCAGTGGTGTAGTGGTAGAGCACGCGTCCCCGGATAGGATGAAACGTGGGTTCGATTCCCGTCAGAGGCCGTGTTTTTGTTCACCACTCAATTCTCTTAGTTATATAAGAACATAATAACACTGCGAAAAAAAAGCAGTGAAAATACCGTAATTTCGAAGTAGAAGATTGAATTGTACATAAAAAAAACGAGAGGAAAATGAAGTGCGAATGACTCATACATTGAAAAGAAAAAAGGATAAAGAAAAGAATGATGCGTACGATGTAAACGGAGAAATATGAAAAGAAAAAAAGAATGACTTGTGCTTTGAGGAAGAAAAAAGAAGGAAAACTCGATAGATTGGAAATTCGATCGGACACAGTTGATTGGAAATGATTTCACAGTATTTCAATGACGTTGGTATTTTTTTTTCTCCTCGATTTTTCGGGCATCTCACATTTCTTTGTCTTTTAGATCGCATTAAAGCGACCTTGAAGAGACTCCTAAGATGTCTAAAGATGGTAGAAGGACAGACCTCATGGCTCGGATCAATACCTGACGGATGCGCCACGGACGCAGGGATCGAACCAGCGACCACGTGTTTGTGTCGCACAGCACCTATGCTTGCCACTGCGCCACACCCGCGCCATCAAGCTGATAGCGGATTTCAATTTGGAAATGGCTTTACTATTTCTAGCGAATAACACGAACTACAACACACCTCTGAAAGAGTCATAACGAACAATGACGTGGAATGATGTCACTATGACGTCATCCGCCCACGCAAAACATGTGATATCGATTAATTCAAAGTACAGCTGAATCAGCTATGGAACACTCACTCGAGTGAATCGATAAACGCGCACACGGAACACCACCATTACCGACGGCAAATGAATTATCGGTGGTTTATCGGCGGGTTGTTGTTGGAACGGGGCGATGGGAAATACAATAGCGCCGTCCGTTCCGTGGGCAGGAACCCATTCCACGTCTTTAACCCAAATAAACCCCAATAAACCCATCACGAGGAAAAAAACAGGAAACTCGAATCTCGAAAAAAGTCGCAAAAACAAAGCAATAAAGTTCGCTCCAAACACATGAAAAACAAGTGAAATCCCCATGACGATTACCACGTGGGGGTGTGTGTAGCGCAGTGGATTAGATGGCCAGACATCGGAGGAGTAGAGCGAGAGGGAACGAATCCCTCGGGGTGGGAGTCCGTGGTGAGTGGCGGTGGCGCCGCCATCCAGGACGACTTGGACGACACCTTCGTCGTCTGTCCGTCCGGCTCCTGTCCGGACACCTCTCCGCCCCCCACCGCCAGCCAATTCGCGTGTGTGTTCCCGCCGTTATCGATCCTCGGCTGGCTGGAGGCTTTTCGACCGGCGCGGAAACTCGGACAAACGGCCATTCAATTGCCCTCCGAACGACTTTATCCATTGTGTTCGTTTCTGTCGTAGTCCGCTTGCAGTTCCTGGAGTTTGTGGAAAGTTCCAGAAAGTCCACTGGTAATGGGAATAAGCAAGAAAATCGATAAGTTCGTCCCGTTGAAGCTTCTCGGGGAAATAGCGCGGATAGAATCAATTTCAACTGTCCTTGTTTCCTTTGATGGCTGATAGCTGCGGTATCTCGGAGAGAGGAAGGTAGTAGAACGATGGCATCGCGGTAGGGCAGTGGGGTAGCACGCGCTCTCGGTAAGGGTGAAACGGGGGTTCGACTCCCGCCTGAAGTCGGAAGTTTTGTGGATCACTCAGTATCCTTGATCGTATCCCTGTGTTATCCTGATGCCCTTAATAGTGTTAAATGTAGTTTTTGAGGACTGCACTTGCTGAACGTGGTATCAGTTGGTGTTGATGATGCCGTTGCTGTTGTTGCTGTTGTTCTTGTTGTTGTTGCTTGTTGTCGTTGTTGTTGTTGTTGTCGTTACTGCTATTGTTGTTGTTGTTGTTGTTGCCGTTGCTGCTGTCATTGTTGTTGTTGCTGTTGCCGTTGTTGTTGCTGCTGCTGCTGTTTTGTTCTCGCTGTCGTTGTTGTTGCTGTTATCGTTGACATCGTCCCATGTCAGACGATTTATACTAAAAATAAGCGCGACTTTATTGAATAAAAAAAGTTGTTTACCATTATGTAAGCAGGTGTGAGAGAACCTGTGTTGTTCACGTGAGATAACGTTTAAGTCCACCTCACACTGAGAAAAAATCTGACGAGAGGAAGGGCGCCAGGTCACATGTGATAGTGATTGGCGTGTTCTGTTTGTAATTTGATCTCTGATCCTAGTCAACTCGGATATTACAAAGAATAATTTCAGACCCCCCCCCTCCTCTCCCTTAACACTCTGCGAGCAATAAGGGTCATTTTGACCTTCAAATTTGTCAAGGGTCCTTTTTGCTAGGCAGAGTTCTTTTTTTACTACCCTAATACTTCATAGATTAAGACTGTGCTTGGTTTCCTTGAAAAAAAAAACCTTTTCGTGCGCTGGTACCGGCGAAAGTAAAATTATGTTTCACATACTCCGCTTTGGTTGCACAGCTGTCTGTGGATAGTTTTTCATTAGACTATACCAGTAATTATTCGATAGAACAAATCTCGGCAATTTCGAAGCTCAATCTGGCTTTTTGAGAAGTCTTCATAGTGTGTTTTACGAACGAAAATAAAATTACATTTCATATTCGAAGTTCTCTGTGCACATAAAAGTCTTATATGCACAAAAAGTTCATGAGCTTGTAGAGAAAATTATGGAGTATCAGAAAAATACAATAAACCTGGAGTTTTACCCGAAACGAGGAAAAAAATTCTTATTAAGTAACAAAAATCGCGCACTGCGAGCGATATCGATCATGCTGCCGTCCGGAAAGGGATTATTTTGGCACCACTAATCAATCTCATATTCCTTGTTGATAATAATACTGGAGTCGATCTGTTCAGCTAACGTTTCGATGCTTTTTGTCTTTTTCAAAGCCGATGATTCGAGTCGATATTCACAGTCGCTGCGTCATCGTAATTTCATTATGTTTTCATGCTATCAACAAAACGAGGGTCGTTGCCGAGTGGTTATGATGGTTGTCACGGCGCGCGCAGGGCTGATTCAGATCCACAAACTCTCCTGAGTCAACAATAAACGCTGTATGGAATTCAAGAGCCAGGCTATCGTCGGAATTGCAAGGAGAGGTGTTCAGTCGGTATTCTATGACGCCAAGAAGGCAATGAAAAACGATTAGAATGCTCGAAGTATTGTCATTCGCGGAGTGAAAAAAAGTCTCTAAGACGGATTAAATTTTTTAAAAAAAAACTAATCAAATCGTATAAGAATCTAGTAGACAGTGGTAATGCCGCAGTTGAAGAAAATTCGGTTTTTATATACCAAAAAAAAAACCAGCGACAACGGCGTGATGAATCGATACATTCTTTCTTCTCTACTGATAAGCTTACAAAAATCACTTAATCGTTAATGATTACCTGTAGATTTAAGTTTTTTCACGTGTACTTGCAAAGTAGAACTCCATCTAGCGGATCTAAGCAGATTGTCTTCGATCAGTTAATCTAGTAGAAATGTCACTAAACCTCCTTCACATCCATCCATAAAGGAAGGTGGCTTGTCCACAAAAAAAAAACGTTCGACCATCAATCCCAATGCTTCTGAGTAGAAGCTATCAGCCATGACCGAATCCATAGACGTATCCAGCTGCGTTCATGAATTATAAACAAATTAAACGAATTAAAGATTCTGGTAACTTAGAGACATTCCGAACTTTGCCATTCAAGTGTAGCTCTACATCTCGATGATTTTATCGTTCTTGAGCGAGTTTACCACCACTTCACAGCTATGTATGAACGAAGGACACGTATGTTTGTTTCATTCGGCATGATCAATAACAAAGTGATTGCCTACTTCTAAGTATAAACTTGTTTTCAATGTTTTCACCTTGAATGTCGGCAATTGAGCAGTAATTCGTTTATATGATTCTAAGATCGACAAAAAGGAGGAATAAAATAGTACTCGTTCCTATACATAGAACGTGTTTATAATTCGCAAGATGTGTACTATTAATAAATTATTAACATATTCGCGACTATGCGAATCGATATGACTCATGTTCGAGGAAGGACAGTGGACAATTTGTTTGTTATTTTACATGATCCGATACCATACATCGCTCGAGTCCGTGCTTCCATCATCCACGAAGAACTTCGAATTTGCATATGAGTCCCACTGCCCGTTTAAGATCTTGGTCTTCATTGTAAATGTCGTTGAAAGCTGGTTTGGTAGATGCGCCTTGGATTTCTCGAATAGTGGTGATGAGGTGCTCCCGAATCTACACCACATGCAATTACTGATCTGTGGATCGAAATAAGGCCTTGTGAGATAAAATTGGCCTAACTTCCCAACCGCAGAAGGGCTCATTCACCTGAAGGCTAGCAGAATATATTGTGCTTTTGTGGCTTTTAGAGAGCTTTCCAAACAAGTGTGGTGCCTATTTCGTGATCTAGAAACAATGAGCCTCATGATTAATATGATATGGTGTGTTTATTCGTCTCCTTTACAGCTGTTTGTGCTGCTGTACAGATCCGTTTGCCATGAATTTTATATCTAGATGATAAATTACCCCATCAGACCTTTCCAGGGATGTTGTTCGATACAATATTTATTCTTAACAGTTCAATCTACAAGAAGTTGTGTCGCATACTGACATCGTTGTATACGGGTAATGTTTGAGTTTTCAGTTTAGCATACAAGAGATAGAGAGTATGGAGGGATGCACTGAACGGAGAAACACGAAAATGGCAGGAATCATTAGAAATTTCTCAAGGAAGTTGAAATACACGTGAACAAACACAATGAATGTGTGAGACATAGCCATCTCTAAGGAGCTCAACGGCACGAAGTAGTAATATATCATTCACTGCGTGCGCAGCAAAAACTCGAGCCCCCCACAAAATCGAGTGTCATTGCGAATGCGTTGAAAATTCTATTGAACAATTCGAAAGTCTAACTGATCTTCTCATAACCTCGGCATGAGTACTGAAAAATGAGAATTGATATCTTGCAAATGTCCTTTTCCTTGTATAGAACTTGTTTGAGATTGGTATTCTTTTTTTGAAGTTCAAGGGCTAACATTTCGAAGACTTCGCCTTCTTCAGAGCCTTCCATAACATTTATATGGGAGAGGTCACTACGTCTGTTTGTATGCTTTTGAGCACGACGGTAGAATGTTATTATTCCAGTCCTGCTTAGATGGCGAACACCATTACCAATGTTCTATGGATGCCTTTTCTTCACATATCCTTTGTCAAAGCGACTACGCATGGTTTGAAGGAAGGCCCGAATGAACAATAAGAGTCAAACGCGGACCGCGGCATAAACACAAGCACATTAGCGATCAACCAAGCAGAGGTTGTTGGCAGAAGTCGATCGAAAGTACGAAAAATTATAGTGCAACAAAATTTTAGGAGACCTACGCTCACGAAACGCGGTGTCACGCTCGATGACCTAAGCGAACACCAACTCGTACTTATATGCCATAGATACCTAATAGGCTCCTTCGTTCGAGGGATGACGCGAAGAGTAACACATTTTTGCTGTAGAAGTTTTGGTCTCTATCGTCTTTGACAAAATCTACAGCAATCTAACATCAAGAATGCCGATGTTATGATGTGAACAACATACGGGCTCCTCCTCGCCTTGACGACCTCTTTGTAGCTGAAGTACAGCTCACATAAACAGGAATCACTCAACTAGGAGAAGAATGTGATATGCAAATATCAATCGTTGTGCGTTCAATGGTTTGGTAGCATGAACCTCAAGCAAGAAAGTGAAAAATGAGATTTGAAATTCTGATTTGAACGGTTGATAATGAAGGAGATTACGTTTATGACACACAGTGGATGATTAAATGTAATCAGTGCAGAAGCTGAGAAGTATACACTGAAAATAAGTCATTGTGTAAACCGTCATTTTCAAGCATAACCATAGCACCAGCTTTGATGGAGAACATCGGCACTCGGTACGGGCAAAAGGCTCGTACAGCGCAGTAGCTAAAGCGTGCCGTGCAATATACATAGGATCGTTGGTTCATTCCGCCGCCGCAAGTTACCTAAGCATCCAAATAGTACAGGGACCTAGTTTGGGGACGTAAAAACACAGCTTTACTGTTCGGTCGACTTTCCTAAGTAATTGCACTAGAGGAAAACATCTTCGATTACTTCTTCTTTTGGTTACTTCTGCTGTTGAAATTCTTATGTATTGATTAACTATTCAAATTGTGAAATACGGCGGGGTCATATTTGTATACCTAATACGATGCTACGAATGGAATCGAATGCATGACGCAATCCTAACTTATTAATCAACGTCCACGGTGCTACGATATATCGAAACGACTCTCCATTAAAGGAAGAAGGAGTTTTGTTCAGACTACAGTGGCTAAGTCAGCACCATACAGGTCACCTTTTTCACCTATTCGTGTCCTGCAGTCCTGTCTTCACAACTAAATGCTTACATCTTTTTTGCTTCCGATTTGTCACCAATTATGTGAGAAATCTAGGGCTTTTTGGGTTCATACACCCTTTGGCTTCCTTGAGGCCGTAATCCTTTGTCACTATGGTAGCTAATTGGCAGTATAACGAGAATTTAGGATGAACGGATCTACGATTTCTCTACGGCTAAGCGTTCCCATCCTTCATGCAAAAACACAACAAAGTGGATTCCCGGGGAAATAAAGATTCTGGTATTATAAG